GTCTTTACACGAGGCCTCCCTGTAAAGCAGGATTTTCATTATTTTAGCTTTTTTCTTAGATTCTAGTTTAGTTAGGTCGTTAGTTTTCTACACTTGAATGTTTATGTACCTGAAGGAAATACCGTGTACAAATAAATAAAGTTACCTCCATATCTACCCACTTCTTATTAGTCCAAGGGCAAGGAACTACGCATCACCTTCAGAAAAAAACTACGTTAACATTGTCCCTATATCCATATCCATATATACTCTGTAGAGCATGAAAAAATCGAAGCCTTCGCAAAGTTCCAACAATCTTTAACCAGTTAAACGTTCATATTGCCTCAATAATTCGTTCATAGTCATATACTTATGGCGTTGACAGTGAAACTCATCGTAATGATCTGATGCTTTTTTATCTTCAAAGATTTCCAAGTGTATGTTGACAGGTTTGCAAACATATGGACTAAATGACAAGAAATAACTGAAACTGGCCCCAGTTGTTCAAAAGGCGAATAGCGCTATCCATGTGAATAAATCTCTATCCCAATACTTATCCGCTTGATAATGATTTAACTGCGCTGGGGCCCGGTGATGAATGGGGTGTAAGAAAATGTACAGAGGGAAGCAATATAATTTAAAAACTGAACGTATTTCGAGTAAAAATTTAAATGCCTTAATTTCTATCCTCGTCTTCCTCTCGGGACTCATGGAAGATTGGTTCAAGAAATTAATTGGGTGCAGTGATTTCTGGGAACGTTTAGGTTGGCAAATGTTAGTTATGATTGGTCGATTGTATTCAAGGCATTATCAAGAGAGAATACAGTTGACTCCCGATAACTCGAACCCTCGCTAACTCGAACCTCGCGTTAACTAGAACCAAAATCGATTTCCCCTTTATTTCCGTCATACATTTACTGTAATTTTACCCTCGGTAACTCGAAACCTCGATAACTTGAGTCCCGCTAACTCGAAGTAAATTTTTTCCCCTCAGATCATTTCTATATAATTTTACCCTCGAAAACTCGAACCATGTTTTGAGCCCTTAAAAAGTCGGGGAAAAACTGTCTACTGGCGTCCAAAAACATCGAATTTTGAATTTCCAATTGACGTGTTGTAGGCATATGGTTTACTAGTGGAGGCTGATTTTGTTTGTCACAAATCTAACGTGAAACAGCTTTACTTCTCAAAACATTAAAACGCCTGCTCTATTTAGGCAACATTTTGTTACGTTACGTTCTGATTTATAATCTAGAAGTGTCTTTCAAATTTCACTTGACATTTCTACAATTAACTGTGATTAAAATGTTCACTGTGCAGTAAAAACTGTTTTCCTTAATTCCGGCTATTTTCTTCGAGCTCCCGATAACTCGAACTCCTGATAACTCGAACTTTTTTCGATTTCCCTTGAAGGTTCGAGTTATCGGGAGTCGACTGTACCATTAACCAATCATATAAAGTAAAGCTCGTCCACTCAAAAGATTCCAGAAATCGTTGCGCCGAAAGCTTGTTACTCATTGCAGTTATTGCGCATGTGCGCAATGGCGGGGTCTAGGCTGGCTACATCTACATTTAGGGCGCGATCCATTCAACCAAACTTTCCGGAAATTTCGGTCCAAAACTCAATGGATCGGCTCGGTCCAACCGGAAAAGGTTCGAAAAAACGGGTCCACCTTTTGAAGTGGTCCTCTTTTCCCGGTCGGACCGGTTGGAATTTTGGTTGAATGGATCGCGCCCTTAGATTTTCACTTTGAGTATGAACGTATTTGCTAAGACACGCCCTCTTAATATGTCCCTCTTTTCTGACTTTGCGTTATTCGCATTCTCATTCAATTGTTTCGATGTAATTCAATGCTTTTTAATGGCTCTCTGGACTATTTCAAGTCAAAAAAAGGAATGAAAAAATAAAATCAACAAATTTGAAAAATTGCGATCGTGTATCTTGTTTGCAAAATAGAGTCTCCATGACGACAACAACCACGCATAAAAGGGAAAAACACCACGCGAAATACGTCAGTTGCGTTATGTACTAGTTCGTTCACTCGGTTGAAAGGTTGAAGCTAGTTTCAAAAAATGGGCTCGTCTTGTTCAATTTCAAGCTCTTACAACGCTTCCCATAACTTCAGAAAGCATTCTAGAAATGGTAATAACACAAACAGAGTATCAGAGACTATAAGCAGTCAATCGCGAGGCGAGGTTATTGAAATAATGAGCGTTTCAGGCGAAGAAAAAATTTCAACTTCAAAGGCGGTATCATCAGTTCCGTCATTTCAGTGGCTCGTGTCATCTCCGATTGTAGATATAAAAGAGCAGAAATATTATAATAGACGAAAAAATCGAGCTGTGGAGAAAAATGCGACGACAAACTACAACAGAGGCGAATATCTGAATTCCTGGAGGCATCCAGCGCAGATTCCTAAACAACATAATGATAGTATTCCTTCATCTTGTCTCTATCGTACGTCAGCAGCAAGCGATGTAAGCGATCATCTATCGTCGAGATGTAGAAAGGACGAAAAGAAAAATCAGTGCTTGGGACGTATCCCTTCAGCTATGGATGAAGATGAGGCTCTGATTGGATTTGGAGTTCAGAAAAAGGTCACATTTTCAAAATCGTGCCTCTGAGGCAAAGGGGTATCCTTTAGTGTAGTAGGCTAGGGTAAGGTTTTTTTTCTTTATTACGGTAAAGTACGAAGCGTATTGTCCCAATAGTATATATAGTATTGGAAATAATAATTCGCTTTCCATTAACGTAATAAAACCTTGCTTGCCATTTTTTTTAACCTGAAGACCACAAGCTATTTATTTTTCAGTTCTGTCAATTGATGAAGACATGTTATTATCGTATTTAGATGTTTATTTGCTGTTGATAAAATTAGAAAAATCAACAATATGTATAATGGAGTTAGAGAAATGGAAAGAAAAAGATGTTTTCTATTTCTTTTGTCGTATAAAACTAACAGTAGTTACAATAACACTTAGAAAAAGTATTTTTGAATATCGTAGGCTACCAGCTATTTATGGGAGGGATATGATAGGATAGGTCTTTATCGTATTTATTTATATATTAGCTTACCATTTTTAGAATCAGAAAATCGTGATCTTGACAAGAACTAATTGAACGACAACCGAACGGGCATAACTAATTTATAAAGAAATGGAAAGAAAGATATATCAATTAAATATTTTTTGCAGCAAATTAGGAATGTATAGTAATGTTGTGTTATCCAGTGTCTAAGCCCGATCTTGTTGTGGTATAAGTAAAAAAGGCCTGCTGTACCTTCCTAAACTCCCACTGATCAAAGACAAGAAGAAGGAAAAAGTTGTGAAGTATCAAGAACTGACCGGGGAGGTTGATTAGTTAAGTGACTGTAGCACCAGTTCTTGGTGGTGCCCTGGCAATTGGGAGCGATAACAAACAACTTTGGAAAAGAATGGAGTGACTGTGACGATCGACCTGTTAGAGAATGCTGCTCTACTTGGGACTCTGATAGAACAGAAAAAAACACTTGAAGCCAAAGGCTGAATGATGTTTTAATAGTAACCGTAACATAACATCATAACATCACCTTTATTTAAACCTAGGATTTACAGTGTAACTGTAAAAGCTAATATCTCCGAGAAAGAGAGAGAAAAAGAGAATGATAGTAA